CCGTCAATCAAGTGCAAGATCTGCATTGCGCACGCCGGTATGGGGACGAACTTCGGCGCCAAAGGAGAAGGGGCGACCGATGTGCAGACCCAGGCGATGCGGAAGCATCAGCGCACAAGGAAGCACCGCCACGCTGTGCGCAGGCAGAAGACAGCCGAGGCGGCTCTCAAAGCTAACCGCCGGATTGACGACAACCCGAAGGTGAAAGACGTGGAGAAGGAGCGCCTGCTCGCGCTGTTTCAGACGGCGCTCTTCATCGCTAAGTCCGACGCCCCGATCGAGATGTACGTGGACCTCGTCCAGCACCTGGCGCAGCGTGGCACACCGGGCTTCCCAAAGCGCAGTTATGGTGCCTACTACACGACGTAAGTGACATTGCTCCTGTTCAACTGGCAGCGGGTTGTGATGTACTTGCAGCTATCTCTGACCACACCCGTTGATGCCCGTGCAGCTACGGATTCGAGGAGATCACCGCCGCAATAGCGACATTCCTTCGTGCGCGCCAGAGAGAATTCATCGACACGAGTCCCTTCATTGGTCTGAGCTGCGACGAGAGTACGGACCGCGTCAAAGGCAAGCACATGATTGTGTTTGCAACCTTTCTGCGTGAGCACGCCGTCACCACAGAGTTCCTGACTAACCTCTCCATCGAGAAGTGTGATGCAGCCTCACTTTTTTCAAAGCTCACGGAATTCCTTGACAGTATCAACCTCCCGCTGGAGAAGGTGGCGGGTATCAGCACCGATGGGGCACCTGTGATGATAGGAAACGACACGGGCCTCGTTGGGCGTCTTCGCCTGGAGATCCCGCACGTGGTGGCTTCTCACTGCATCGCACACAGGTAAACTGTTGCTGTGGTGGTGTTGTAGCGGTGTGAAATGTGCAACGTGGCAGTGCGAATTCTAACACCACCACCTGTGCTTTTCTACCCGTGGCAGGGAGGCGCTTGCTGCAAAGGAGGCGGCTAAGGCCCTGCCCGAGCTTGGCATCATCGACGCAGTCATCCGCGCATTGGCGGAAGATCTAGGCAGATCCAGCAACTACAACCGCAAGTTCAAGGAGCTGCAGGAGGTGTTCACGCACACCAACCTCGAGGTCCAGGGGATCCACTCCGTCCGCTGGTTGAGTCGTGGCGATGCTATCGCCCGATTCGTCCGCGTGTTCCCTGCTGTCATCGTCATGCTCGAGGAGACGGACAAGACGATGTACCAGTTGGTGACGTCGTTCAAGTTTCATTTTTTCCTGTTCTTCTTGGCAGATGTGCACACGGCACTCAACGCGCTCAACCTGCTATTCCAGAAGCGTCAGGTGAGCTGTTGAGTAACGTTGTGCTTTTCAGTTCTTCTCCCAGTTTCTAATCTTTTGTTCCGGTGTACCTATTCTCCCCCTACCAACAGGTTGACCTCACTGCAGTGCACTCCCAGGTGAGGCGGACCATCATTTACATGGAGCAGCGGTACCTGCACTGTGGCCAGCAGTTTGGCGGAGGGACCAGCGAGCTGCTGTCTGCCTTCCTCGCGCGGCACGCCTCGCCCGACTGCCGTGAAGTGACTGTGGAGGGGGTGGACAAGGAGGGTCAGGCCCGGGTACACACGTTCCAGCTGCACGAGGAGGCCGTGAAGGGATACACCACCAGCAGCGGGGGCATGCAAGGCTGCTACACCTGCTGCCGCTCCTTCGCCCGCGAGCTGGTGTACAACCTCGAGCTGCGCTTGGGAGACCTGACGCGGTTGAACGGGGCGAAGCTCTTCATGCCCCGCACGTGGCCGAAAGCCGTCGAGGCTAGAGAGGCCGAGTGCAAGGAGCACCTGCACGGCCTCGTCCATCTGTTCCAGGCCAAGAACCGGGACACGATCTTGCCAGGTGAGCTAGAAAGAGAACCCCAATGCCCTGCGTGTATGCGTTGCCGTTCTAAGCGGTTGCGATATTTCCATGTTGAGGGCCTGACTTTCTACCCGGTTGTGCTCTCCTGTTTGGCAGGTGTCCAGAAGCGTGCAGCTCGAGCGGAGCTGCGCACGTTCCTGCCGGTGCTCTCCACTGCGCCCAAGGAAGAGCAGCCCTTTCACGCAGGTTTGAAGGCCATCTTGCAGACCAGCGACTGGCAGACCAGCTACCCCAACTTAGTCCGTCTGTGGGCTGCCGTCGCTGTTCTGCCGCTCAGCACAGTCGAGTGCGAGCGCGGGTTTTCCCGCCAGAATGTGATCAAGTCGTGGCGCCGGACGAGTCTCTGCAACGCCAAGCTGGGAGATTTGTTGGCAATGTCTCTTCTCGGCTACGACATGGACTGGGATGCGGTGGTGGACATCTGGCGGAGCACCAGGAAAAGGCGCCCCAACAAGCGCAAGGAGCAAGCCGCGCCAGAGAAGGAGCGACCCAAGGCCAAGTTTGTTAAGGGGAGTGGCCGCCGGCTGGTGCAGGTGGAGGAGGAGCTAGATGAGGGCATGATGAGTGGTTCTGCATCCGATGGCAGTGAGAGTGATGATGATGGCAGCAGTAGCAGCAGTGGTGATGATGCGAGTGTTTCTTCTTCAGATGATGACATGACATGACATGAGCTAGTTAGCTAGCTAGTTTGTAGTTAGTAGTAGTTAGTTAAGTTAGGGTATATTATCTTGGAATATTTTACACTGAAGGATCAGTATAGTGAAAAATTTTACACTGACAGAATCAGTATATTGAAAACCACCAACGCTGATTTGGACAGCTGGTGGCAGGGGCACGCTGATCCATCAGCATACCCTCAAACCAATCTGAGGGGAGGGAGTGAGGGGTGCAGTGCAGTGCCCTCCCTCTCAGCACCACTGTTTCTGACAAGCCACCTCCATCCTCTGCTTTCCAACTCCTTCACTCGTGCTCTCGTTCCACGGCTTGCCCTCCACCTCCTTGTCCATGACTAGTGCAGTGAATGTGGGTGCGGCCGCAGCTGCTAGTGCCGCTAATGACAAGGAGAGTGTTGATGGTGTTAGGGTCAGGTCGTGGGGTGGAGGAAGCAGCTTCACAACACAAGTGTTTCGAAACAGGGAATAGCCCAGCATGCACTGGTGGGGGCTGGATGGGGCAGTTTCTTGTGGGGTGTGTGTTCTTGTGTGACTGGTTTGGCACGGGGCATGAACGCAGAAATCCAGGGGGTTGTGTTACGGTGCTTGAGAGAAAAGGGGCTGGTGTTTTGGAATGTGGTAGCCAGGACTATTCCTGTAATTTTTCTGAAAGCGCATGAAGCAAAGTGTGACTGCAAACAAACACTCCATCCGTGGAGTCTTAAATATTATGGTTTGTAGAGTTAAAACAGCATTCTTATTGACTCTTATACATTCAGCGTGGAATAGAATCCCAAATCGGGTGCAGAACCAGAAACCCGAAACCCGTTAGGACCTGAAAAAACATCGTGCTTCTCTTCCAGCGGTAGGATGAAGGGGATTGGTCTTTTCCAATCGCGCGTCTCGCCAAGTCGTTGACCTACTCTCCGCATGCGACTGGCTACAACGCCCCTTCCTCTGTGATCCCGCTAATTGCGGGGACATTCAGCATGCTGCAGCTCGTTCGCGGCCCGCGCGGTCGCGGGTTGGCCGTGCGACGGGGCGTGCGAGAGGGCGAGGTGCTGCTGGACGAGGCGCCTCTGCTGCTATACGTCGACGACGATGTGTGCGACTACTACTGCTCGCACTGCCTGCGGTGAGCACTGCGTGCGGTGCGCAGTAGAGCAGCGGCCTGTAGTAGAGCAGTGACTCTTCACTGCTCTACTGCTCTTCACTGCTGCGTGCTGAGTGATCCCAGACCCGACTCTCACTGCGCCTCACCCCTCGTCGCGCATTGGCATTCTCTTCAGTGCGCACTCGGAATGGAGCAGCTTCGGTATGCAGCGCGGAGGACGCTAGACAGCTACCATTCAGAAGCGTGTGAGAGCGAAGCATAGACAGCTGCGGATTTCTGCGTCGTCGCGTCCGCATCCCTGCTTCCATTTCATTCCATTCCGCCATCACTTGCGTTCAGCGCTTATTCCGCACTCCCCTCCTTCCTTTCCCCCCCATTTGACACCCCGCAGGTGCCTCCCCAATTCCACCAGCACCGCTACCAGCCCCGCGGACCCCTCCCCCTCGCCCGGCCCCGCGCCGTCCCCCCTCCCCCCCGCCAACCCCGTTCGCTGCCCCCACTGCCGCATCTGTTCCTTCTGCTCCCCCGCTTGCCTCGACCAATCACAAGCTGCCACGCACACCCCTTCCCTCTGCCGCGCACTCTCCCGCCTCCCTCCGCGCTCCGCCACGTCAGCTTCCGCCCATGGTGAGCCATCCGCGCCACAGCTAATCAATGGAGAGAGGCCCGATGACACGTCAGCAGGGGGTGACGCTGACAGCGAAGCAGCGCTGCTGAGCAGCGAGGACAGGACAGCTGTCCGCTTCCTATTGGCTGCGTACGACCTGCTGGTGCATCCGCGCGCGCTTCCCCCTTTGGCGGAGGCAGTGTGGGGGGAGGAATTGGCGCGGAGAGCAGGCAGCGGACGGGGCAGTAAGGGGGAGGTCGGGAGGGGAGGGGAGGAAGCAGAAGGAAGGGCAAGAGAACCCGGCGGGGGGAGGAGGACGTGGAACGTTTGCTTTGCGCTGCTGATGGCGCTGGATGGTGGGGACGAAGGGGAGGGCGGGAGAGGGGGAGATGGGCACGGGGAGAGAGGCAAGGAGGCAATCACTGCAGCTCCCGCTGCTACTGCAACTGATGGCGCTAGTGCTGGCAGCAGCAGTGCGAGAGTGGTTGTCACGGCAGAGGATGCGGAGAGCAAGGAGGAGGAGGAGAGGGCGCGAGCACGGCGGGTGCACGAAGCAGTTCTGCGAGTTACCCACGACTGGGCGTGGCCCGCTAGCTCCACAGTGCCTGCCGCTGCAGGCACTAGTGAAACCACTCGGGATGGCACTACAGAGGGCGCTCATGCAGGGTCCACCATAAGCGCACCTTCGTGGGAGGTGACGCGTGCATTGTTGGCGCGAGACACGCGCAACAGCTTTGGCGTGATGGCGCCTTTCCGCCCGGGGGGGGAGAGGGCTGTGAGGGGGTATGCGGTGTATGGCACTGCATCGCTGGCCAACCACTCCTGCTACCCCAATGCCTGCAGGTGCGGCTCCCGCCTGTGGTCCCACCTGCGGTCCCACCTGTGATCGCTCCTGTGGTCCCACCTGTGATCGCACCTGTGGTCCCACCTGTGATTGCTCCTGTGGTCCCACCTGTGATCGCACGTGTACTCTCACGTCACATCGGCATGCCTTCGCACACAAGCAATTCCACGCCTTGACCCCCTCTCCCTCTTGCGTCCCTTCGCCCTTTTGCATTCCCTTTCTAACCCCCGTGCTATCATGCTCGCTCTGTGCCTCTGTTGCTCTGCATGTATCAATTGGACTCCTCGCCTAACACACACGAGCTCTCAAAGCAACCTGTGACCCGCCTCTCCCTCTTGACCCGCCTTTATCTTGTCCCCGCTCTCTGGCCTCCCTGCTCTCCTTGGTGCTCCCTGCCTCCCGTGCACCGCAGGTTTGATTACTTCGACTCCACGCCTCCTGCCACTGCACCCATCACCAGCACTGATGGCAGCACCACCACCAGCAGCAGCAGTGCCAGCAGCGCCAGCGGGGGGTTTAGCAGCAACACGCACATGCAGCTGCGGGCGATGCGGGACCTTGAGCAAGGAGAGGAGGTGGTGCTGTCGTACTTCCCCCTGGGCTGGCGCCTGGGGGAGAGGAGCGCGCGGGAGAAGGAGGAGTACGGGTTTGAGTGCGGTTGTGAGCGGTGCGAGCTGGAAAGGCGGATAGGTGGTGATGAGAGTGAGGAGGACGAGGAGGGGGAGGAGGAGGGGGAGGAGGAGGGGGAGGAGGAGGGGGAGGGGGAGGAGGAGGGGGAGAGTGGGGCAGGGAACGATGGAGAGGAAGAGGAGAAGGAAGAATTCGACGATTCAGACGGGGGGGAGGATGAAGATGGGGAAGGGGAGAGAGTGGCAGGGAAGGGAGTAGCATACAGGAAGGGCAAAGGGAAAGCAGCAGAGGAGGGTGCTGATGAGGCTGACGGTGATGCTGATCGGGATGACAGTGACGAGGACGGGGATGGGCAGACTGCTGACGTGTCAGATGCTGAGCTGGCGCATGCGCTGTTCTTCATGAAGCATCTGTGTGCCGTGGAGGGGTGCGGCGGTACCATGGCTGCCAAGCCAGGGACATGGGTGGAAGAGGGAGGAGGTGGAGGGGGGAGTGAGGGTGGAGGAGAGTATGAGGTGGCAGATGACATGGAGTGCAACATGTGCGGTGCGGTACACTCTCGGCATGAGCTGCTGAATGCTCTGTGCTCTTAGTGGTTGCATGCTCGCAGCTGAAAGTACGGTAGTAGTGTGCACCAATGTGACAGATTCCCTCGAAATACAGTACAACAATAGGTCAGGTAGAAAATCTACAAGTGCTTAAAGCTGCAGAATGGTGATGAGAACGATACTAGGTATGTACAAGAATCGCCATCACATCATGGTACCGATAAGTTGTGTCTGGCAGGCAGCACACTGCCTGGTACGAGATATGCGATGGATTGGGTACTGTGTCCGTGCGTAGCCTTGTCAGCACGAACCAACTCTAGCTACAGTAAGTACCACCGGAGTTCCCTGCTGGGGCCATTCAGGGCCATTCACTGGGTCATGACTCATGAGCTTGGCTTGGCTTGCCATGCGACATGATGTGTGCTTCTATCACCTCCACATGCCACAGCGCCTCCCTGTTGGGGTCTGCACTCAGATCCACCAGCTTGTGCACCTGTGCGGACGGAGGGGGAGTGGGGAGAGGAGGGAGAGTGGGGAGAGGAGGGAGAGGGGGGGAGATAGGGAGGGATGAAGAGAGGGGAGAGGGGTGAGACGGGAATGTGGTGGGCGTATGAAAATTGCTGGGCAACAAGCACTCGTGCACCTCTCCCATTCCACCCATCCCCCATCCCCCATCACCCCCATCCCCCATCCCCCATCGCCCCCATCCCCCATCCCCCTATTGCCCATGGCCCCTATCCCTGGAAAAGGTGCATTTTGTCCAGCGGAGAGGGATAATGGAGCATGGTGTGCACATGGCTTGCAAGTGGCAGGTGGGTGAAGCAAGCCAACACACCCACGTTGCTGCTGGCGGCAAGGTCCGTCTGCAAGCCAGTAGATAGAGTGAATAATGGATGGTGAAGATCGTTTCCTCATAGAGTGGATAATGGATGGTGAAGATCATTTGCTTCTAGAGTGAAGAGAAGGGCAGTGGGTTCACACAAATGACGCATGAGTGAATAACGGGTGTGCGGTGCAGTGCAGTGAATAATGGTGTGCGGTGCAGTGAATAATGGTGGGCGGTGCAGTGAATAATGGTGTGCGGTGTAGTGCATGCAGTGAATAATGGTGTGAGAAGAAAGGGCGTGCAATAGGGTCACCTTGATGAATGGTGGGCTGGCAGGGCGGGTGCAGAGCGCACCGATGACTTGAACATATGAGCCTGTGCATGTGCGCATGCCCCCACACACAGATTCACACATGTGCATATGTGTGCATGCCCCCCCACACAGATTCACACACGCGCGCATGTGCATGCCCGCACACACATGTGCACACATGTGCGCGCACATATCAAGGCATGCAGACGCATGAGAGGCCAGGCGGAGAGAGCATGCACAAGCAGGCAGTCTCCTAAGCTAAAATTAGAAGGTGATGCATGCAAAACGGCATACACAGATTCGCTTCCTTTTGCACGCTTGTAGCCCTTCCCTTCACCCTTCCCTTCACCCTTCCCTTCACCCTTCCCTTCACCCTTCACTTCACCCTTCCCTTCACCCATCCCTTCACCCATCTCTTCACCCATCCCTTCACCCATCCCTTCACCCATCCCTTCACCCATCCCTTCACCCATCCCTTCACCCATCCCTTCACCCATCCCTTCACCATCCCTTCACCATCCCTTCACCCATCCCTTCACCCATACCTTCACCCATCCCCTTCACACAACCCCCACCAACCGCCCACCCAGCACCACTTGAGAATTCCTGTGGGCAGACAGCGGTGTGTGTGGTGGCACCAGTCGAACCACTCACGCCCGCTGCTAGCACACACTCCATCACTCTGCCACTCCGCCACCCACATGCATGCTGCTGTGCTACCCACTCCATCCACAAGACGCATCCAGAACCAATCAAACATACCTGCCATGAACCGATCACCTCTCATCCCCTAATGTCCCGCCCGTTAGAACCACATCACGCACCAACAAGCGGAGGCGACCCCCCTTTAGCAGGAACGATCTCAACCGCTGCACTGCCGTCGTCCAGATACAACCTCCCCTCCGCAGCAGCAGATCCACCTGCGCTAGTAGGCACCTCTCCACCCGGGACAGCAGCGAGGGAGGCAGCATCTGCGCTTCTGAGAACGCCCTACACCCACACTCGCTGCAGCGCCATGCCGTTCACCTGCAGTGCCACGCCATGCCATGCCACGCCACGCCACGCCACGCCACGCCACGCCACGCCACGCCACGCCACGCCACGCCACGCCACGCCACGCCACGCCACGCCACGCCACGCCACGCCACGCCACGCCACGCCATGCCATGCCATGCCATGCCATGCCACGCCATGCCATGCCATGCCATGGCACGTACAAGGCAGAGACCCAGGCAGAGGCGAAAAGGAGGGGACAGCTGCTGAGCCAAACCCCCTGTAGCAATCAGAGGTGAAGAGAGCACGGCAGTAATGAAGGCCCCCCGTAATCGCACCCCCGTAATCGTTCCAATCGCTCGCGGTGACGTGGCAATGATGATGAGGGCATGGTGACAGACCATGCTGACGAGAGCATGGTGTTGTGGATATGCAGAGAGACAGGTGAACAGAGGCCATCGTTCAGAGATAATAGAGGTGAGTGACTTGCTGTGTGTTAGTATCCCGAGGCGCCTCGCATGTGGCTTTACAGATTAAAGCCTTTCTCTCCCTTCATCAAACTTAATCCGTCCCCCGCGCCCTCAACTCCCCCCGCGCCCTCATCCTTAACCCCCGCACCTCATCCTTCCCCCACGCCCGCATCCTTTCCAGCCCTATACCGCACCTCGAGCAATGGTAGGCCGTTCGCTCGCCGGATAATCCGGTACGCGCTGACGTCAGCGAGGAGCAGCTTGCGAGCGGGCAGAGTGTAGTCCATCGCTGCTCGCGCTGCTAGTGGCGACTCGGAGGGCGATTCGCGGATGTGCTACTAAAGGAGGTAAGGAGGGGGATTCGGAGGTTGGGAATAAGTTGCGGAGATTAGGAGGGGGTTGAGGAGAACGCGATGGGGACGGTACTCTTCGCGGTTGCATCATTCGAACGCAAAGGGGTAAAGAAGAGGATACCGATTTGGGCGAGGAAATATGCGGCAAAGACGTATGTCCGAACGAATGGAGATGGGTGCTGGGGCATGTGATCACGATACACTTAGCATTTTTATTTATTCCGAAGCATTCCCTATGCAGACGCACTGCGGCCTTCCACCTGCGGAATCGAGACGCGCGACATCCTAAAGTAGTCTGGCAGCAGTGGGCGAGAACTTCAAGTATGGCTGTTGTTCCTGACCCGACTAACCGATTTCATTGAATGTGTTTGTTCGCGTTATTGAGCTGCGCACATGCCTGGGACAAGGTGTTCTGAAACCCGTTTGTGGGTGACGTGGCAACACAACTCCCTTGCCCAGCTGCAACTTCCCCATTCGTCGAAACTGGCTTTCGCGTGATTCGGCCTTGTCAGCTCTTGTGGCATCCACGCTATCCACTCTGGAACTCAAATTTTCGGGTTCGTACACTTCCAATCAGATGCAAAGAGAAGTCGGACCGCATTCCTTTAGCCCAATCGTATGCTTCGGCTGACGCAGTTCATGCGATCGCCTCGTTCCTGGACTCCACCATGCCTGACGGAAATAACCATTCCGTACCGTGTTTTAGCATTCTGTTTGCTTATACCACCGTGTTGAGATACGTTCTGGTTGATGCTCTTTGTGGACAAGTATCTTTCCCCAATAGCTCCTGTGCGCATTTGCTTTGGAAGCACAGATTTCATCTTGGTGCAAAAGCGCTCTGCTTGTGGCGGTAGCTGCAGCGACTAGTCGTTCGGCGGTGCTCCTCCGCTGGTTGCGCCGTTGATAGCAAGGTCTTAGCCACTAGAGTCTTACCTTTTTGGCAAGAACTCGAAATCACTTCACGTCGGGTATCCGAAAGGACGCTGGAAAATTGTTTACTACCGATTCCGGAAAGGACACTGACTTCACATCGGGTATCCGACTGCGTCCATGGCTGCCGCCGTTCTCTCGAGGCAACGCCACCATGCGCGGCTCCTCGCCGCCAGGCTCTGCCCCACCCTCCCATCGCTCCACTCCTGCGCCAATCCCGCAACCCCTTCTCTAGCCGCGTCACAGTCCACGTCAGCGTCGCCCCAGCAGATCACCCCGTCACCGCCAGGTCAACATCTCCCAGAGGCTTCCATTTCCACAGCGACCGCGCGCACGCCCGCTCCTGCAGCCGGCGCGAGCGGAAGCGCGCCGAGCCGAGCCGCTCCGCAGATGCCGGCGTTCGACCACGTGCCGGAGCCGTACACGGGGCCGCGCGCGGAGGAGGTGCTGAAGAAGCGGCAGCAGTTCCTCAACCCGACCATCTTCGCCGATACGAAGTAAATGACCAGTAAATGCATGAGTGACTGAATAAATTACTTCGGAGTCGACTCTAAAGCAGTTCCTCAACCCGACCACTTTCGCCTACTACAAGTAACTGGTACGGCGCCGCTGCCGCGAAGGCGAAGGTAGTGGCTTGTAGGCCGCCGCCGCGTATTCATTCGTCTGGGATTTTTTTTTTTTCCGCATCGCCATCTGTATTCCTCTGCTGTGCCTCCTCACGTGTCTCCACCCGCGCAACGCCCTCCCACCCTTATCTCCGCTTTTGGCGTCTCGCCGAAAGATGCAAGGCGTGCGCGGGGCGCGCGGCGATGTGGCATCGCAGCTACGAGGAAGTTTCCAGGAAGTGTTGCGCATACGCCAGGCCAACACCACCCACTGCCTTACTTCGAGATGACCTTTCAGCACTTCCACCCTCCCCTCTCCCCTTCCACCCCCCTCCCCGTATTCCCTCCACGCAACCCTTCCCCCGCTCCCCCCCCTTGCCCTCTATTCCTTGTCAGCTACACGTGGCGGTGGGGCGCATGCAGAGCCTCTAAGTCGTTAGGACGGCTGCGGTGCCTCTATGACGCACATACTAGCCAGTCTGACATCTCCCCCCCCCTCCCTTCCTCTGCCACCTCCCCCGTATTCCCCCTCCACCCACCCACCAAACCCCTCCCACCCTTTCCCCTCCCCCCTTCGTCAACTACACGTGGTGGAGGGGCGCATGCAGTACCTGTACGACGAGCACACTCGCACACAGCCACCCCAACCACCCGCGCCTCCCCATTCTCTTCTCCCCTGCAAATTCCCCCACGTACTCCCCGTTCCCATATTTCCCCCCCCCCCCCTCCACTCAGCTGCACGTGGTGGAGGGGCGCATGCAGTACCTGTACGACGAGGACGGGCGGCGGTATTTGGACGCATTCGCGGGCATAGTGACGGTGTCGGTGGGGCACTGCCACCCCGCGTTCGTGGCGGCGGTGGCAAGGCAGAACGCGCTGCTGCAGCACACGACCAGCATCTACCTCAACCACCAGATCGCGGAGTATGCAGAGGAGCTCGCTGCTAAGATGCCCGGCGATCTCAAGGTTAGTCCTCGCTGCTGGGCTGGTGAGCTGCTGGTGAGATGGTGGTGATATGGACTAGTGGATACATGGACTGCTGCAGCACACCACCAGCATCTACCTCAACCACCAGATCGCGCAATACGAGGAGGAGCTCGCTGCTAAGATACCTGGCAATCTTAAAGCCAGGGTCTCAAGTAAGCAAAGCAGCCATCAACTGCAAAGCAGTTGAAGATAGGTTACCTTGTTAGTGCAGGCGAATTTCTCTTTGGTTGGGTTGGAAACCTTCTCCCGTCAGTGCCTCAAAAGCAATTGCACAACAAGTTTTGAGTACGTGAGACTTTCGACGAGTCTGGGGCATTTTAGGTTTGGTTCCGAACCAAATTTACAAACCTAGGAGGTTCGGCTACACCTAGCGATTTGGATTCGTTTCGTACCCCTCGCTTCACCCCTCTTCAAACTTCACAACTCGCCAACCAATCACACACAAACTTGCACTGTCGACTGCAAAACACTTGTAGTACATAAGACCCTGGCTTTAAGGTGCGTATATACAGGGAGGCAGCGTGTGTTGGTGAGGTGAGGTAGTGGGTACATGCGCTGCTGCAGCACAGCACGAGCATCTACCTCAACCACCAGATTGCTGAATATGCAGAGGAGCTCGCTGCTAAGATGCCCGGCAGCAACCTCAAGGTGCGTGCTGTGCTGCTGGGCTGATTGTGAGATGGTGAGACGGGCTAGTGGTTACATGCACAGTGCAGCACACAACGAGCATCTACCTCAACCATCAGATCGCAAAATACGCGGAGGAGGTCTGTCCGTGCCGCTGGGCTGCTGGGCTGTACACACACGCTGCGCAGCATGCCATGGGTGTTAAGTGGAGCACTCAGATGCTGGCAGCCTGCAGCACTGGTAGAGGAACTTGGTGCTGCTTCAACGCTGTCAAGCTTAACTAATTTCACCATGGGTCGAGCATCCACAGATAGCCTTTAGGCATAGAAGATTGAGGATCCTTTTTCCGGAATGAGTGCTTTGTGACATGGTGCGGCTGTTCTCAGGCAACTGTTTGCACTCCCTTCCCCTTCCTTCCCCCTTCTCTCCCTTCTTCCCCCCTCTCCCATCTCATTCCGTCGTCCCCTCAGAATGTGTATTTCGTAAATTCAGGTTCAGAAGCCAACGACATGGCGCTCACCATGGCACGGCTGTTCACGGGCAACTACCTGCACTCCCCAACTTACCCCTCCCTCGCTCCCCCGCCCCCCGTCCCCCTCAGAATGTGTACTTTGTGAACTCAGGTTCAGAGGCCAACGACATGGCGCTGACCCTGGCGCGGCTGTTCACTTCACGGGCAAGTGCTTGCACTCCTCGTTCTCACTCCCCCCTTACCCTTCCCCTTTCCCCGCTCTCTCCCCCATCGTCCCATCAGAATGTGTATTTCGTGAATTCAGGTTCAGAGGCGAACGACATGGCACTGACCATGGCACGGCTGTTCACGGGCAACTGACTGCTCTCCTCCTCATCCCCATTCCCCGCTTCCTCCTGCCGGTCCCCCGTCGCCCCCCCCAGAATGTGTACTTTGTGAACTCGGGTTCAGAGGCCAACGACATGGCGCTGACCATGGCACGGCTGTTCACGGGCAACTATGATGTCATTGCTCTGCGCAATGCGTACCACGGCATGTCGCCCGCTACCATGGGCCTCACAGCGCACAGCACGTGGAAGTTCAACATTCCTCAGGTATGCACCCACGCCCCCTCTCGCCCCCACACTCCCCCACTCCCCTTCCGTTGGGGCGTTGACATGCACCGCACAAGCCACCCTCATGCGCCGTGCGTACAGCGCCTGAGGGGGGCTCTCTTTCTCTTTCTGCGCCCCTTCTGCCCACCCCTTCGCCTCCAGTTTCCTTCCACTCAGGGCACTCAAACCTGACTCGTATTGGGGGAGTATTCGTTGCTCACAGTGTCTTTCGGGCGTCCCTGCCTTCCCCCAACCACCTTTTCCTTCCCCTTTCCTTCCTGTTTTCCCTCCCCTCGCCAGGGCTTTGGCATCCATCATGCACTCAACCCCGACCCATACCGGGGCGTGTTCGGTGCTCACAATGCCTTTGGGGCCTCCCCTTCTCCCCTCAACCACCTTTTCCTTCCTCTCTCCCCTCCTGTTCCCCCCCCCCACCTTGGAAGGGCTTTGGCATTCATCACGCACTCAACCCTGACCCATACAGGGGCGTGTTCGGTGCTGACGCAGCAAAGTACGCAGCTGACGTGGACGACCTTATCCGCTCGTCTACGCCGGGCCGCGTGGCGGGGTTCATTGCCGAGACCATCCAGGGGGTGGGCGGCACAGTGCCTCTGACACGTGGCTACCTGCCATTGGTGTACGAGTCGATCCGGGCGGCGGGGGGAGTGTGCATAGCGGACGAGGTGCAGACGGGGTTTGGGCGCACAGGATCGCACTACAGGGGGTTTGAGACGCAGGGGGTGCTGCCAGATATCGTCACCATGGCCAAGGTATGAGCATGGATATGGGCATGGCAAGGCATATGGGTTTGGGCGCACAGGGTCGCACTACTGGGGGTTCGAGACACAAGAAGTCATGCCCGACATTGTCACCATGGCCAAGGTATGAATGCTCAGGGGGGTGGGCGCACGAGGTGCGAACAGGTGTTTGGGCAGACGGGGTACAGACGGGGTTTGGGCGCACAGGGTCGCACTACTGGGGGTTCGAGACGCAGGGAGTCATGCCCGACATTGTCACTATGGCCAAGGTATGAGCATGGATATGGGCATGGCAAGGCATATGGGTTTGGGTGCACAGGGTCGCACTACTGGGGGTTCGAGACACAAGAAGCCATGCCCGACATTGTCACCATGGCCAAGGTATGAGATAAGAGTGTCAAGGTGCGTGGGTGTCGAAAGGTGCAGACGGGGTTTGGGCGCACAAGGTCGCACTACTGGGGGTTCAAGACGCAGGGGGTGATGCCCGACATTGTTACCATGGCTAAGGTACGGCCTGATAAGAGCATAAAAGTGTGTGCATAGCAGACGTGGTGCAGACGGGGTTTGGGCGCACAGGGTCGCACTACTGGGGATTCGAGACGCAGGGGGTTACTACTCCCGAAATTGTCACTTTGGCTAAGGTATGATGAGTACGGCCAAGGTTTCGATAAGAGTAGCAAGGTGTGTGGGTTTGCGCAAAGTACTCAATCTCTTATGTAGGTGGACGGCAAGTGCAGAAGATGTGCTTCGTCTGCAGAAGATGTGCTTCGTCTGCAGAAGATGTGCTTCGTCTGCAGAAGATGTGCTTCGTCTGCAGAAGATGTGCTTCGTCTGCAGCTTTAGCATGACGTGTGAATGAAGCTGCTCTGTTCGTCCTCATCCTGGTCTTCCTCCGTTTCCCTTCGTTTCTCCTCCATTTCCTTCTCTTCTTTTCCCTCCCCCTCTTTCCTTCTCTTCTCCTGCTCTCTCCTATCCCACTCTAAGACACATCATCCACTGCTGGAGCGGGCTCCCTCGTTCAACATTGGTAACCACATCACTGTTACAGGAGTGATGCCTTCTGGGCGTTTCTACATCTTGGCAATCCTCCCCGCACCTCCCTCCCTCTGCTCCCACCTGCTCAGGGCAAGGAAACAGCCTGCAGCTAGCAGCGGTGCTGACCACACCAGCGGTTGCAGATGTGATGGCACAGCGGTGGGTCTTTCAATGACTGGAGCACCCCTGTGAGCTGCGCTGCCAGTCCAGCAGTGCTTGTTGTTCTGCCGCCTTCAATTTCCTACACAAGCCAAAGCCTACCTCCCTCTGCTCCCACCCACTGCAGGGCATAGGCAATGGCTTGCCGCTGGCAGCGGTGGTAACGCCGCCGGAGATAGCAGCAGTGATGGCCCAGGGGCTGCACTTGAACACATTTGGCGTCAACCCCGTGAGCTGCGCTGGCGGCCAGGCTGTGATTGGTCTTCCATGCGATGATTGTGATTATCACTATCTCTACATCTCTCCGCTCCCACCCCGCCCACCACAGGGAATAGGAAATGGGTTACCCCTAGCCGCAGTGGTAACCACGCCGGAGATAGCAGCAGTGATGGCCCAGCGGCTGCACTTCAACACGTTTGGGGGCAACCCTGTGAGCTGCGCTGGCGGGCGGGCGGTGCTGCGCATCATAGAGGAGGAAGGGCTGCAGGGGAACTGCGCGCACGTGGGGGGTTACCTCATGGGGAAGCTGCAAAAGCTTAAGGAGAAACACGAAGGTGAGTGCAAGAGACCTACACGCTAGGGGATGACACAAAGGTCACATGAGGAGGAGGCGCTGCAGGGGAAGTGCGCGCATTTGGGGAAGCTGCAGGGGAAGTGCGCGCATTTGGGGAAGCTGCAGGGGAAGTGCGCGCATTTGGGGAAGCTGCAGGGGAAGTGCGCGCATTTGGGGAAGCTGCAGGGGAAGTGCGCGCATTTGGGGAAGCTGCAGGGGCTCAATGAGAAACACGAGGGTGAGTTAGGGGGATGGATGGGTGAGGGAGTGAGCGAGAAAGTGAGTGACTTGGTGAGAGAGGTAGGAAGTGAGAAAGAGAGGGATGTGTTGCTGGGGTGCCCACAGGCACCATGTCCTCGTACCATTGCTTACACAGGCACCATGTCCTCGTACCATTGCTTACTTTTTCAACGCTGCTTCTTAATGCTCCTAGTGTTGGGTACTGCTCTGCTCGCCTACCAGGAAACTTGCATTTCACTGCTTCTGTGCTTTGGAAGTTAGAGATGGTCGCAACTTAGTCTCTCCCTTGCCTTCCTTCTCCCACCTCCGTGCACGCTTGCCCATTCCATGCGATCCCGCAGTGGTGGGCGACGTGAGGGGCGCAGGGCTGGATGCTGGGAGTTGACTGTTGAGCTGCTCACAGGCGGGCGGCCAGACCTCTCTAACTTCATCTCTCTCACCGTCTCTTCCACCTTGCCCGCTCCCAGCCTCATCAACAGCGGTGGCCGATGTGAGGCGAGCAGGGCTCATGCTGGGCATGGAGCTGGTCACGTGATAAAAGAAGTGTTTTGAGTTCGTCTCAAAACACAGCTGGTCGCTGACAGGACGGCCAGAGTTTCCATCTTTTCCTGTCTTTCCCCTCTTCAACCGAGCTCCTTCCTATCCCCCCCTCACTTGCACACTCCATGCCATAATGCCATTCCCACCCCGCGGTGATCGGGGACGTGAGGGGAGCAGGGCTGATGCTGGGAGTGGAGCTGGTCACAGACTGGACGGCCAGGCGTCTCTAACTTCATCTCTCTTCCACCTTGCTCGCTCCAATCCCACACAACAGTGATCGGGGACGTGAGGGGTGCGGGGCTGATGCTGGGAGTAGAGCTGGTAACAGACCGGGCCGCCAAAACTCCCGCCAAGGCCGAGACACTTCAAGCCTTCGAGCGCCTCAAAGGTGAAACCTGGTGGTGCTGGCTCGGGATTGAGCTGGCTCGGGATTGAGCTGGCTCGGGATTGAGGTGGCTCGGGATTGAGGTGGCTCGGGATTGAGGTGGCTCGGGATTGAGGTGGCTCGGATTGAGGTGGCTCGGGATTGAGGTGGCTCGGATTGAGGTGGCTTGGGATTGAGGTGGCTCGGATTGAGGTGGCTCGGATTGAGGTGGCTCGGATTGAGGTGGCTCGGGATTGAGGTGGCTCGGGATTGAGGTGGCTCGGATTGAGGTGGCTCGGGATTGAGGTGGCTCGGATTGAGGTGGCTCGGGATTGAGGTGGCTCGGATTGAGGTGGCTCGGATTGAGGTGGCTCGGATTGAGGTGGCTCGGGATTGAGGTGGCTCGGGATTGAGGTGGCTCGGGATTGAGGTGGCTCGGATTGAGTTGCGCCTGGCTGTCATTAGTTTAGGAGCCGTTCTGTTTCAGGGTAGTGATGAGAGAGTGAGATTCTAACATCTAACGATCCAGGGTGGAGGGTAAGGGATAGATCGCCATGCTTCTCAAGCCCGCTACAATTGATGCCTAGAGTGAGGTCTCACACGCCAGTGAGCCATCTCTGTGTTGCTGGGAAGGATGGCTGGGCAGGATGGCTGGGCAGGATGGCTGGGCAGGATGGCTGGGCAGGGGAGGATACTGTTTGTGGCCTTAGGCGCTCTCTTGCTGCCCTACCTAGGAATTCTCCACTGCCCCCCATGCACTGCCTCTGCCCCCCATGCACTGCCTCTGCCCTCCATGCACTGGATCCGCCCCATGCGCTGCCTCTGCTCCATGCGCTGCCTCTGCCCCATGCGCTGCCTCTGCCCCATGCGCTGCCTCTGCCCCATGCGCTGCCTCTGCCCCATGCGCTGCCTCTGCCCCATGCGCTGCCTCTGCCCCATGCGCTGCCTCTGCCCCATGCGCTGCCTCTGCCCCATGCGCTGCCTCTGCCCCATGCGCTGCCTCTGCCCCATGCGCTGCCTCTGCCCCATGCGCTGCCTCTGCCCCATGCGCTGCCTCTGCCCCATGCGCTGCCTCTGCCCCATGCGCTGCCTCTGCCCCATGCACTGCCTCTGCCCCATGCATGTGTCTGCCTGCCTTGTCCCCTGTGCGGCAGATCTGGGCGTGCTGGTGGGCAAGGGAGGGCACTATGGGAATGTGTTCCGCATCAAGCCACCCATGTGCTTCACCACTGCCGATGCTGGTACGCTCCCATGTGCTGTACGCTCCCATGTGCTGTACGCTCCCATGTGCTGGTACGGCCATCATGCACACATCGACCTGATGGGATGCGAGTGTGATAGAAAGGGGAGAGTGTGATGGCGAGTGGAGAGTGTAATGGCGAGGGGAGAGTGTGATGGCGAGGGGAGAGTGTGATGGCGAGGGGAGAGTGTGATGGCGAGGGGAGAGTGTGATGGCGAGGGGAGAGTGTGATGGCGAGGGGAGAGTGTGATGGCGAGGGGAGAGTGTGATGGCGAGGGGAGAGTGTGATGGCGAGGGGAGAGTGTGATGGCGAGGGGAGAGTGTGATGGCGAGGGGAGAGTGTGATGGCGAGGGGAGAGTGTGATGGCGAGGGGAGAGTGTGATGGCGAGGGGAGAGTGTGATGGCGAGGGGAGAGTGTGATGGCAGGGGGCGAGCACGTCCAGCATGGTTCAATCTCTATTATCAACAAGTATCAGGTGTTTCACAGCGGATCGATCTGCTTCCAGTTTGGTCCCCATATGAAGCACGCAAAGGTTTTTCTCATTTGTTTTCCTTTCCCGTCCCCGCCCGCGCAGACTTCCTCGTTGAGTGCATGGACGTGGCGTTCTCAGAGCTTTAGGAAAGGTTATGCTGCTCTCCCTCATATTGCAGCTGCCACCTGCCCACAGCCCACCCCGCATCCCATCCATTTGTTATATTCTCATCAGGATACAGCACTTTTGATGTACATGTTCATACACTGTACAAAATTCTACTACGTTAAGATTACCGCAACCAGACAGACGCCCTTTGGGATGTCATAAGTATTAAACTTTGAAGTGGGTAGGTACAAGGTGCAAACAAAAGGGCCAAGAAATCATCCATGGCTGATAGAAAAAACGCTTCCCGTCATACCCCGGATAGAAGCGCCCCTGGGGGTATAAAAAAACACTGTTTTTTAGGGGGTGCGCTTATACGGTAATCGAGGAATTTTATACGCGTCGGCGCTTATACAAAGGCAAAAAAAAATTCTATTTGTTTTTCACCACACTGTAGATCCCGTTCTGCCTATTGTAATCGAGTCGAAAACATCTAGGGTCGCGAATCTTATTATCGCAGAGCTTGGCATGGTAGGTCTGCCAGCTCATACTGACAGAATGACAGCACATGCTGACTAGACGCGCAAAAAGTGAGACCGGAGTGTGGGAACTCGAAATTGTAGTTCGTTTACCTGATAATGTGAAATTCGTTTCTGTATTTCGACAGGCTTTCAAATGAAAAACCAACATGCGCTTATAATATATCGTCTTTTTTTGGGGGGGGGGGGGGGGGGGGGGGGGGGGGGGGGGGGGGGGGGGTGGGGGTTTCCAGGTGGCATCACTCTCGCCACTGAAATCACCACATTGGCAGTGGCAAAAAGGGCACAATTTGACCAGGTTTACCGCGCAATATTCACGCACAGTCACTGGAAGCGGAGAAGTTTAGGTCTCTCTCCGAAATTGCTTTGAAAAAAAAAAAAAAAAAAAGACAAATGCTACATTATTCATAAGCAGGCCTTCAGAAGTCAGACTTTTTTTTTTCTGATTTGGACTTTTTTCTCTGATATTTCAGATTTTTTTTCCTGTGTACTCTGATAAAATCAGACTTTTTTGGGCCTCAACTCTTTAATTTTCAGACTTTTTTTTAAGGCTAACTCTGAGATTTCAGAGTTTTATGAGAGTGTACTCTGATAATTCATAGTACAAACGCGTCCTTGACTGCTGATTCGGACTTACGGGTCACAGAAGATTCGCATTGTCAACGCAAAATCGCATTGACACAGCAAATCCGAGTCTTACAGCACTAGACTTTCGCCCAATCATAGCAAAATCGCCCTGACACAACAGATTTGCGCTGTCAGAGTACAACAATCTTCGCCCAATCACAGCAAAATCGCTCTGAGATTGCAGATTCGCCCATTCGCACCACAAGATTTGCCCTGACACATATCTTCGCCCTGTCAGACCATGTTTCGATAGCAGATGATTGAAACATTGAAAACACTTCCGATGAAACATTGAATACATTGATTTTGAATGATCAGATTTTTGTTTTTATTAAGGCACTCTGAAATTTCAGCCTTTTTTCTATACCAGGTCTGAGATTTTCAGACTAAAACTGTGTACTAGTCTGACGAATCAGACAGGCCAAAAACGAATCTGAGGGCCTGTTCATAAGGATGGAGGGGTCTTATAATGATTGCACTAAAAAGGGGGGGTATAACTAAAACGACTCATATATAGTACCCCCCTCGTATTATAGACCCGGGGGTCTACAACTGGAGGGGGTCTTATATCCGGGGGTTTACGGTATCCGAGACATAGCGCTTCTATCCGGGGTATGACGGTAATAGGTCAGCCAAGGTTAAAGTTTGTTGTTAGTTACTCTCAATCGATGTAGAAAGGATGAAATCGTAGAGCTCTTTGAAATATTTCCGTATAATGTTATATCAAATGCGAAACTGTACTGGTACTACCACTATTCCATAGGCGATGGTATGAATAAAAATATTGTGTTAGTATAAAGTACTTATTATCATATACCGGTATTAGACTGTGCCCATATTATTTCAAAAGTCATTACGATTCGGTCAGGGCTGACGTTTCATTTTGGGCCTCCCTGATTCCGGGGAGAATTTCCCCCCTGTATTATGAGGGCACGTTTTCCATAGGTTTGCTACTTTGATAGCACAGTGTCCAGGCCTCTCGATATAAGGTTATTAACATACCCCTACAGAAAGAGCAAAAGTATAATATTAGCCTTACGACAAAGGGCACCTCAAATCCGAGGGAGGGAGGGGGGGGGGGGGGGGGGGGGGGGGGTTTACACATATGTCACATGTTATATAAAACCCGTGTCTTAATACATGGTATTTTTTAAGAATGTATAGAACGGATTCATGTTTGTTGTGTATGTCTGTGTCAGTTGCACTTTGCAGCTCGGCATTGAATATAAATGCGGGCGCGAATGTCCCCACCCTCGAGTTTTTGCCAGGTGGCATCACTCTCGCCACTGAAATCACCACATTGGCAGTGGCGAAAAGGGCACAATTTGACCAGGTTGACCGCGCGATATTCACGCACAGTCATTGGAAGCGGAGAAGTTTAGGTCTCTCTCCGAAATTGCTTCGATTTCATTACAAAAAAAATGACAAATGCTACTTTATTCCTAAGGATGAGGGGTCTTATAATGATTGCACTAAAAATGGGGGGTATAACTAAAACAACTCATATATAGTACCCCCCCGTATTATAGACCCGGGGTCTACAACTGGAGGAGGTCTTATATCCGGGGGGTTTACGGTATCCGAGGCATAGCGCTTCTATCCGGGGTATGACGGTAATAGGTCAGCCAAGGTTAACAAAGTTTGTTGTTAGTTTTTCTCAATCGATGTAGAAAGGATGAAATCGTAGAGCTCTTTGAAATATTACAATGTTCTATCAAATGCGACAATGTACTGGTACAACCACTATTCCATAGGCGATGGTATGAATAAAAATATTGTGATAGTATAATGTACTTATTATCATATACCGGTATTAGACTGTGCCCATATTATTTCAAAAGTCATTACGATTCGGTCAGGGCTGACGTTTCATTTTAGGCCTCCCTGATTCCGGGGAGAATTTCCCCCCTCCATTATGAGGGCACGTTTTCCATAGGTTTGCTACTTTGATAGCACACTGTCCAGGCCTCTCGATATAAGGTTATTAACATACCCCTAGAGAAAGAGCAAAAGTAGAATATTAGCCTTACGACAAAGGGCACCTCAAATCCTATCCAGAGGCCTGACAGTGTCTAACAAAGTCTTGTCAGATTATAATGCTTGTCTAGTCTGTAGTGGGGTACTCAATAGTGAGTAAACCCTTTTAGGGCTTGCTATTTGTACCTCCCTTCTTTCTAGTCAAACCCTCTTTTGCCTATTCTCTCTTGCCTAGCTAGCTAAACCCTAGCTATGGCTCCTTCATTCTAGCTACTATTTTAACATGCTATCAGAGCGGTTACGCTCCTGGCCTGTGGGCCAACCTGCTTCCGCTGCCTTCCTGTGTGTCGCGCGTCCCGTGGCGCGCGATGTTCGTTTTTTCTTCCCGCCGCGCGCTCGGGGCGCGCGGCGGTATTCTTCCCGCCGTGGCCCCGAGGCGCGCGGCAGTTTCCTCCCTCGTGCATCAGCCCGGGGACCCGCGCTTCCCCCCCTCCCGTCGACCGCCCCGTCGCCCGTCGAAGCGCCCCCCGTCGCCCGTCACGGAGCCCGCGGACCCGCGCGTCGCCCCCCGTCGCCCGACGCGGCCCGCGCGACCTGCGCCAGGCCCGCGGGCGGCCCATGAGGGCTGCGCCAGACCCGCGCGCGGCCTGTTCGGGCTGCGCCAGGCCCGCGCGCGGCCTGTTCGGGCTGCGCCAGGCCCGCGCGCGGCCCGTACAGCCCGCGCGCGGCCCGTACGGGCTGCGCCAGGCCCGCGCGCGGCCCGGGCAGTTTGTCCCAGTGCCGCATGCGGTCTCCTGCGCCGTCCCCCACGCCGTCCCCCGTGCTCGTGCCCCGTGTCACCCGTTTTAGGGTTTTGGGGTGACCAGTGTGGGGGTGGCGGTTATGGGGGTGCAGGGTGTGTGCGCCGTCCCCTACTTCTCCTCCTCCTCCGTCTCCCACTGCTGCAGCTGTCGCTGAGGGGGGTGGGTGTGTGGGAGCCGAAGGAGTGGTGCTAGGGGGGTGACGTGGGAGTGGAGCTAGGGGTGCAGCAAGGGGTGTGTGAGAGGGGTGTGGGACGGTCGGGGGAGGTTGAGTGGAGGTAGCAGTCTTGTCGTCCGCAGCACATGTAGTCCGAGGCCTTTGCCGCTGGTAGCCCAGAGAGCCTGCTGCGCCTGTCGCCCGTGGGTCCGTTGCTCCTGTCTGAGCCTGTTACTCCTGTAGTCCGGGGCCCTTGCTCCGGTAGCAACTGAGCCAGCCGCTCCTGTGGCCCGTGTGTCTGCAGCTTCAGCCGTCGCCTCCCATCTCTTCTCCTCTCACAGTCACTCCTCCTCCTCACTTGCCCTTTGTGAATGCCTCTAGCTTTGCTTGAACTTGTGAACCTGCACTATGACTGCTTGCTGTGCTGATTATACCCCACTTTGACTATGGGGGTGTGTCAGATTATAATGCTTGTCTAGTCTGTAGTGGGGTACTCAATAGTGAGTAAACCCTTTTAGGGCTTGCTATTTGTACCTCCCTTCTTTCTAGTCAAACCCTCTTTTGCCTATTCTCTCTTGCCTAGCTAGCTAAACCCTAGCTATGGCTCCTTCATTCTAGCTACTATTTTAACAAGTCTTACCCTGATTCGTCAGGGTTCACAGCATGAGATCAGGGTTGCTTTAAATTTTGCACTACACTTTACACTGTTTTATACATCATGCTGAAACTTTCCTACACTACCTAGTGCTCGGGCTTGTCAATGTGGTACACCTCCTCCACATCCTCATCGTCCGACAGGAAGGGGTTGTCTTCCTCCTCCTCCTCCCGCACGAGCTCCTGATTGTCGCGCAGGTCCTGTTCCAATTCATCCTCCACCTCCTCCTCCCCCTCATCCTCGTTCTGCCTGGCAGTTCGAGCAGCCTCGTCTTCACCCTCCTTCT